AGTAACTACACCTTTGAATTAACCAGCATCCATACACAGAGTACTCGCTACACGAGGTGTGAATAACAATCAGCACATTCGCACTGAATCCTTGAACGATATCACCCCCCCAAAAATCTCATCCTTTGCGTTTCACGAAAAATTCTAATTTTAAACATTCTGAAATTCCCTTTTGTACAAATCCCTTCGTGATTACCGATGCTGTTTTTTTTTTGCATTCTCAAGATTCTCAGTTGTAGTCGCGATTGCAACGCGTGCACGACACACACGCACGGACATGCATTGGTCGCGTATTTGTACACGTGTATCGTAGGTGCACCTACGTTACGTAGTTAGTTGGCATGGCCGTGCCAAGGCTGAGAACCTTATCTAAGCTCAGGGTGTTTGACCCAACTGGGAAAAGACATCGGGACTTTGCACTGCAACGGTTGCTCGGTAGATTCGCGTAATGACCAATTACTCGCGATCGGTTTTACAAACATACGAAACGTTACAAAATTATGACGATATAAAACTCTAACAGAAGTATGTCGCCTCGATCCATTGTACTACATTTTTGTAAATAATTATTTTCTATGAGATTCCAAGAATACCAGCAGATGATATCTCTAAGAGAAATCGAAAGCTGTCTTCCTGTAGGTCGTGAGAATTTCGAAATATTCCATCAATAATTCGTCGATGCACTATCTAGGTCTTATCGTTTAAAAACACCATCTGGAAATCTGAGCTCTCCGAGGGCCGGCGTGGACACTAATCGATACACACCGATAACCATTAATCGCCATTAGACGGCTTTCGACGATTCTGGCAACGATTTCTGGTAGATCGGACTAATTCCGATGGCCCCGCATGTTTCTTCCAGGACCCTCGCTCTTTTCTTCGTCGCCGCAGAATTTATTAGCAGCCGTTATTTACCCCCCACGAATCTTCCGCTCGCACGTGAATGATTTAGCGACGGCCGTTTCTGCGAATTCGCGCGTAAACCGTGCTTTTTATACCATTTAAATTTATTCACGCCGCGCGACACACTCGAATCGGAAGCACCCGACCAGAGAAACCTGGCTGGCGATAGACTAACGTTTTATAATTCGTTCCTTAATTGCGCTAAAAGCCATTCGTCACCGGCTCGTTTCGTCCTTCCTTTTCTCCGCTTCCATACTCGCACGTTGCCATGGAAAACTTCTCAGCGACATCTCGTCTAAAGATTAATCCTTAAGGCATATAAGAAACATAAAAGAATCGAGGATGCAATTCTTTATGACGATTTACAGGAGCGTCGTCATTTTTACCCATTCCAAATTTCGTAAGATTTTAGACTTTCCAAAACCACCCTGTGAAACACGAAAGTCAAGAATGTCTCGCGAATCGGAGCCTTAGCCGCTGTATTTCACAATTTAACGAGCCAGAGAGCAGTACGGGTCCGCGAAAGGCCGCCTCCGCGCGGAGATGGAGGATGGTCCTTCGAATAAAATCGCTAGACGTGTAATCTGGCTGGCAAGACGTAAAATAATACACCGCGGGCACGTAAACGAGGACAGTTAACCAGTCGAGCCGCGAAGCGAATTCCACAATTGCTCCTTTATCGTGATGCTCCGAGTACCGACGGAATTGCTTTATTACAGGGTTCAATTCGCTTTCAGTTTTCCACAGTCCGCGAGTCTCCGGCGAGCTCGTTAGACAGTTATTTGTCAAACGCGTAGACAACCACGCGAATTGCGAAAAAGTCCCATTATTCAGTGTCCACCTCGATACGGCGACTTGGACGTTCAGTAGCCGCGAACGGTAGGAAGTTTGCAATCTTTGCGGCCTGTATCTTTGCAGAGGGATTAAGTGTCTAGTCATCGCCTAGAAGGATACAGCTTTATTGTCACGACGCCGACACCGACGACGAAGGAGCTTGAAGGGGTCAGAGTAGTTTACCGTCGGGTTATCGTGCACTGGATCAACATGTAGCTGGAACCATTGTGATTATTACGATCTCACCGACCGTTATTCATGGGACAGCGTTCTCTGATCGAGAGATACCGGATTCAATCGGCTCCCATTTCGCAAGGGGACTTCTGTACTCGTCTTGTATTTCCTTGGCCGATCGCGCGTCATTAAAGCTCGATACGTTAACCCTTTCGCTGCGGGACGACTTTTCCTGGAAATTCGAAACAAATGTCGCAGCTTACACGCACGACGTTTAGTTTCTAAAATAAAAATTGAAACCTTGGAAGTCCTTTTGTCCCGATCGATAATCTAGATACCACGTCGCAATGCAATAAGGCACCATTCGTAAAAGCACCGGATACACGAATCTTGTTTAATCCAAACAGGGAAAACATGAGTAATGTTTTAAGTTCGCTAATCAGCACCTGCAATAAATAGTCGAGTACACGACCAGGTAGAAAAGACCCCACAGCGTCGATAGAAGATTAATGGTATTCACGGATAACTAATAAATCACTAATCAGATCTTTCGAAATGATCAGCCATAAATGATTTTTACGGTATGCGCTCTACTAATTAATTAATCGAATTACGTCTAAGGCATGCGCGGAACTGGTATTTCACTGGTTGATATTTATCGGTATTTCTCTGATCGATACGCGTACAATTTCGACTCGTGTGTCGCAGTTCATTTTTCGAGGCAAAATTTCAATAGTTTGAGACTGTTGCTACTTTGTTAGCGGTAGCTAGCTGTAACAACGCTGTTGTATATTGGTCAGGAGTTGGCGAGGCACCTACGAATTGAAAGGGGTAGAGACAAGGAAATTTCACCGTTCGGTCCGCCCAAGTCCTTTCTTTCGACCAGTCACGCTGCATACTCGAACTCTTTAATTTTTTTTTTTTTTTTTTTTTACATACATAATATGTCTACGCCAATAGTTACTATTGCCTCGTCGACTCCTGAACTATACCAGCTGCTGAAATTAATGGTTTACGGAGCCATCTCTGTTAGGTGGTTAAATTTGAAAACGAACGGATAAGGAGTGTTCGAGCGACCCTCGCGCGTGGGGGTTCTTAGGGAGGTCTTCGTTAGCCTGATGGCAGATCCGCCCTCGCGACGAGGAAAGGAGGCAAAGAGCGATTCGCTGAAGACGGCTAAAAGCCTGCTGCGGATAATCGTGGATAGACACGAAAATTCGTAGTTCGTCACAACGACCACGGCGGCGACGGCGGCGGCGGCGGCGGCGGCGACGGCGACGGGCGACGCGACAACCGTCCTTGCTCCAACCACTCGCGCTACTACCGATGACGTAATCGTCGCGATACCCCGCAATCTTGGCGCCTCGGTAAACTCGTAATATCTATTTTTATCTGGTGGAAGCAGGGGTTCCGCCCCGCCGCGCCTCGTACCCCTCTCTTACACAGTCACAATACGGCGTACGTATTTACTTCGGCGCACCCGTATTTCCACCGCCTCTCTTCTTCCTGACTCTTAACCTCTAAATTCAGCCTCCACTCGAAATGACCATTCTCGATTAGGGCAGCCACTACTCGAATAACTTAACGCTCGAATATATCGGATCGGAACGTTCGAACCGCGCCGAGACGGCCCGGTCGAACGGTTAATTCGATACGAAGCGTGCTCGGCATCGATCGAATTATTAGGTTTCTCTGCAGGATGGAATTCCTGAATTTGCCTAGAAGATGGAGAAAGATCATAGAACAAAATGGAAGACGTACTACAGGGTAAATGTTTTTCTTGTGTCTAACAATAAGAAAATCCCTGATCGATTTCTTGGACCACCTAATACGTAAATACTGTTCTTTTGGTAATCCGAAAATATTAATCTAAAGATTTCATCAAGAACGACCATAAGGACATGCGAGAATGTTGAGAAAAGAAATAAGAATGTATCCGTGATAGTAGAATTATCAACCGGGCTGGGAAATCGACGAGTTCGCGGATCTGGTTGAAGATGGCGCGAACACGTTTCGATCGGGAACAGGTTAGGATAGGTTCAGGCGCCAGTGTTACGGCGACACGTTAATTATAGTAAAAAGCCACAATCGACTTATTATTGGTCGAACCGCTCGTCCTCGGGGCTATTTTGCATGTTTTAAAGCATTTTCAACGTCTCTATTTAAAGATTGCCAGTTAATAGCTGTAATCGTTTCTCTGTGAGAACTAACGGTGCCAGTCGATTGATGATAAGGACGAGCGGCAAATGTTTTGTTTCTTGCAAATGACGCCGAACCTTTTCGAACAAAAAGTGCATTTTAAGTGCATAAATTGTTTTTCAATTTCATTACACGTACTGTACTTGTCTATATGTGTGTATATACGTGTATTTTATTTCATGCTGACTGTATCGTAGATCAAGTTTCATAACCCTATAACTGCCCCCCCCCCCCCCCCCACACACACGCACGCACACACACCTCCCATACAAGAAAAGGGCAATAACAGCGCGATCGTGGTTATCGTAGATTCGTCTTGTGTGTCGAAAAAATCGCGTCTCCGCGGTAAGTTTTCCTCATTAGATATATTTTACGGTTATTCCCCTTCCTCTGTCTACTCTCGAATCTGGCGCCGTCGTTGTCTCCACGACAGTCGGCGAGACGCGTGGGACTTTCCGGCGACGAGTCCTTTATGATACCGCCTGTACGCCCGCAGCCTCTCGGCCGAACGAACACTTTTAACGAGAAAGAAAGACTCCTCGTTAACGCCAGATCTCATCTCGTTTCGTGGAAGTCGTTCATAAAAACGGAAGATTAAATTCCACGCTATCGAGTACGTTCAATGAAGGAATCCCCCAAGTCGATTCGCATTCTCTCGCGGTTCATCGACGAGAAATAATTGAGGGGATCGTTGCTTTGATTTTCCTGGTATTATCGTACCGAATTAAACACTGAATGTGACGTCAATATACTTAAAAAAAAAAAAAAAAAAAAAATTGATTAAATGTTGCAAGTAATGTATCGTACGTGTACAAGAGTGATTAAGGTAGTGAGATTCGAATAGTAGTCGCGCAGAATTTGAACAAGCAAATTTTCTTTGTTCGTTACAGGTGAGATGGGACAAAAGGAATGGTGTACATTAGCATATTGGGAATTGGGTGGTCGAGTGGGTCGTCTCTATCCAGTGGAGCCTTCAACGGTAAACGTTTTCGATTCCCTCCACGACGGCGACGGCCTCTGCTTAGCAACGCTAGCCGAAAATCATGTTGCTCCACCTGCGGTCCAAAGAACGCGAAGCAAGATCGGTCTTGGTAAGAATCCTATATTTATTTTCCACTAACGCTACTCAAAATCAAAGGACACATCGGGTTTCTCAACTTTTTGTTTGTACTTTTATTAATCGATTTGTGGAATGAACGGCTCGTATAAAAAAAGCCTAATGCTACGTATCGTGAGGCAATATCGAAGCATAAACGACATAAATGATGCTTGATCCGTAGGTTTGATGCTCAGCCAAGAAGTGGATGGCGTGTGGGCATACAACAGATCCGAGAGCCCGATCTTCGTGAATTCACCTACTCTGGATGACCCGGAGTCTAGAACGCTGCTCGTCTACCGCGTACCTCCCGGTTTCTGTCTGAACATCTTTGATCGTACCAAAGTTCTTCAGCTTCCCTACGGCGGTGGTAGCACGAGAACGAGCAGTCAGACGACAGGCTTCGCCTCGGGTCCTGTCGATATCAACTCCGTCCGCATCAGCTTCGCCAAAGGCTGGGGACCCAAGTACGCAAGACAGGAAGTGACCTCTTGTCCGTGTTGGCTCGAAGTGCTCCTAGCGCCATGCAGGTGATCCCTACGACACATCGCGAAGGTATTCAGTCTCGTCCGTTTGCGCCTCTTCTTGCTCCTCGTCGTCCCCCGAGAGGGCCGATCTGTGAAACTGACGCAGCAACGACGAAGCTCCGTCCCAAAGGCTGCCAACGGATACTCAAACGACGTGGATCGCCGCCAGCAGTCTTACCAAAGTACGCCGCCATACATCCAACGAACAGCGTCGTTTTGTTAACAGAGAGAAAAGAAAAAAGAAAAAAAAAAAAATATGAGAGAATCACTCGACAAGTGCGTTTTTTATATTCTTGTGCCTACGAGCGGTAGGACACACAGTGTCTACGTGGTACCCGATTCTACGTTAGAACTCGCGACACACTTTGTCTCGTCGATGATATTGTCGTACTTTCTGGATAACGCTAAATGAGATTCCACGAAAAAGTGAAGCGGAAAGACTCCCGCTAGGTCTAGTCAGTGGTATTTAACGTTTGTAAAGCTCGGCGTCTGCGCGTCCTTGCGTTAAGAATAACATAAGATAAACGAACGCTATCTGAAATCATGGAAAGTACGAGAGTAGAATCGACACCGTGTACACGATCGCTTTTCTTTATCGTCGATTCGTAATTTTAATACCCGTGCTGTCTGGCCATGTCCTCGTTTACGGTTGATCACTGCACCGCGTGGAAGCGGACACTTGGGCTTCCGTTGAGGTCTAGTCAATGCTGTTTGAGAGCGTGAAGAAGCTCGTTGGCCGCGTGGATTACGATGGATTATTCCCAATCTGTTCGAATTATCAAGAAACGAGAACAATGCCAACAGAAACCGAAGGTACTTGGCGTTTTACCTTCGAGAAAGACTTTAACGATTAACGCGACGAACGCGCCGTGCGGCATAAATTTCCTTCGTTTGTATGGAATTTATCCAAGCGCGAGAAAAGATTTGTTACGTTTATTCCGAGTTAATCGAAATCTATCGGGTGTAACTACACCTTTGGCATCTAATGTTTGCGAACTAGTCAGCGATAAAAATGAAGAAAAACGTTTTTCTAGCGGGTCTGACGAAACTTTCCTCTCGGTTCTTCCCTCAATTCTGCGCATCGCGCTTCGCGATATATCCCAGCGTTACGGTTGTATGTATAACACTCCTCACAACGGCGCGGCGCGGCGTTTCATCGGTGTTAAAAATGTCGTGTACCACGAGCACTGCTGTCCCCGATCGTCGTTCGGTGCTGTACGTACGTATGTATATGTACATACATTGTGCCTTTCCCAGCTTCCTTCGTGGTGCAATGTGCGAATGAGACGTATGAGTGCGCGTGCGTGTGTATATATGGAAAACGAGAGTGAAAATGAGAGAGCGAGAGAGAGAGAGAGAGAACTCCGCGTGCCAGCTTTGCACCAAAATGCCCAGAGAGCTTCGTACTACAGTAATACGATACTGTGATAAAAAGTTCGACCCAGGTCTCTTTTTCCTTCCTTGTTTCGGATCGCGTTTTATGAAGCACCGACGAGAAAAGCAATCAAATCTGTTACTGTGTATATTGTACGCAAAAAAAAAAAACGAACGTATGCTTAATAAAAAGATTAAAAAAAAAAAAGAAATGAAAAGAAAACGATGAAAAAAAATATAGATATGATCCATAGTTAGTCAGTTTAAATTTATAAAAAGTGTACTGTTCTTTCGGGAATAATTTTCTACGGTCTCGCGAGAGACGATATTAAACCAATTTTAGAGTGTAAGCGAGTAGGAGTTTCTACAAAAATTTTATCGCTGAAGTCTTCGCCGAAAACGAAATATAAATAAAATCAAAATGGACGCGCGTGTGCATCGATCCACGATTAACAGGCGACTCGTTCAGAGGAAGAAGCGTTACGGGAGTTCGAAGCGATGTTTAAGTACGTACATACGATGTAACGTGTACCACCAGTCATACGTATTCATTCATTCGCGTACGCAAAACACGAGCATGTATAAAATCACAGTCGACTAATCGAATAGTTTTTTGTTGTTTTTTTTTTCTTTCTTTTTTTCTTCGAGCCGTTAGTTACATTTCGTACGACCGCTTTTATCGGTTTAACGCGTTGAAACGTTCTCGATGTCCCCGCGGACCGACGCTGAACTTTTTATTTAGGCCTGTGTAGACATCAGCCTAGTGGGATAAAAGAATATTAAGGAAGGAATATAATACTTTGACAAAGGATTAATGTAATTTATTAAGAGAATTTAAATGAAAATGAGAGTTTCCTTTGCAGATATTACGTGGTAATGTTCGATTTGTAGCCTCTTGGATTGATTCATTGTAAATCTCGATTATCAACGTTTATTATCGGTACTGACCGAGGCTTCTGAGCACGACAGAAACACGAACGAAGAGAGGAAATCCCTTCCTTTTCTACTATACGCTGCATTGACAGAATCCTCAGGAAACAGAACGTCAAGACAGTCTTCGACAAAGTCAGACTTCTCACCTCTCCCAAAGATCCACAACCGCAGTTATAGTCGTCAGGTATCTACAAAGTACCGTGCTCGTGCATACATAGGTGAAATTAGGAATCGTAGCGAAACTCTGGGTGAACGCAACAATCTGCAACGTCGATTCTTTCGATATAATTGTATTCAGTAATGAACAGAGTGACGATACGTACTGTATCGAACTGCAAGGGAGCCCTAACTTTTCATTTTTACGAAAGAAAGAAATATACGACCATAAAAATTTGTACGTGATTCAGTCATTTACCTTACTTCCTGATCACCCGATTTCTTATATTTATTCGGATCTACGAGTAAAGAGTTTTTCATTAGAGACTTGCAATACGTACACAAGTGAGAAATCATTCGATACAAATTCAGAATATCATACTATGTAATTGAAAAGGTTGGATTACGGTGGACTATTCGGTTTCCAGTGATAGACACTTGATTTGTTTAGAAAATTTATTATTTTCGTAATAAGTGTTGCATTTGTATGGTCGTCTAGTTTCTCACATAACGTGCATTCGCATTTACACTGTCACAGGACGATTTACATGACCTATTTCTATAAATACAGTACATCATGTTCTCATACATCCAAAATTAACATCTCACGCTCAAAATACCAGGATACCAGACTTCGGAATAATTCGATATTTTACGTGAACAGCTAAATATACAAGATTGATTCTAAACACCTCGCATTCAAGTAATTGGCATATAATCCTATGGAAATAAAGGCTACGTGGTGAGAACTAATAAGTTGTACCTATCTTAGTTTACTTCACTCTTATCGTTCAAATTTCATTCGTTAAGAATTTTGCCTATTAGTCTAATAAAAGAACAATTTGTAAAGGAGATCGAGCAAACGTAGAAGCAACAAGAGATCTACGTATTTACGAGGTAGGTGTATACCACTTAATCAAAATACAGTTTTCGATTTATGTTGAACTTTAAAATACTGAAGAAATGTATTAGAATGTTCACTATTCTAATAACGATAATATACACATACGTATAGGAAGCTTACGAAAATGCTAGTCAATGTGATTGAAACATATGAAATCCTGTTTGTCCAACAGAATCATACAACATGAATTTCACTACTTTCAGTACTCGTTAGTCTTCGTATTTTAAATAGGTAATGTTTATGATAAATTATGAATGAATAATATCGTCAGTTCCGCAAACGATCGAATCGTCCAAATATTCTTTGTCTCCCTAATCCGACAATTACACGAATCTTTCTAGCATCGTGTAATTCGATGATGATGACATTTAAACCTAAAAACTATTTCTAAGGTGATCAACACCCGCGACACGTATGTGGAAATGATATGGAATGACCGATCGTCGCACATCGCGGTAAGCATACAATTACTTCTTCGCTCCTTTACTCTTGGTCCATGATTGTTCAACTCTTTTTCCTTGGAAGCATGAGTGCTAGTAATCCTCCGACTGAAAATAATCGAATTAATAAATTAGAAATATCAATGTTCGCAAAATAACGCAAGAAACGACGAGTGTGTTTTATTATTGAAAAAAATAAAACTTCAAAAGAAGTATCGAAGGATCATTTATAAATTGAAATTGCACACTTACGGATGACTAAACTGCCAACCAGGAAAATGGGCACTTCGCAGCTAATGTCGAGCAGCATTCCAAAAGCCAAATTGCTGGCGATGGCACCTACTCTGCCGAAGAAGGTCATCATGCACATGGCGACTGCGCCCACGTGGGTTGGAAATATGTCGACCACGATGCTCCCCATTACGAAATTCGCGGTGACTATTGTCAACGAGAACACGCAGGTTACCATCAGTATCTGCAACGAGGACCTCACGAAGTAGATCCCGAAACCGAATGCGCCAGCCAGCAACATCGTTGTCACTAAAAAAAATGAAACCAATTTAAGTAGAAATAAAAGTTAACAAAATTAGAAAGGAAGCATTAATTTGCGAAGCTTCCAATCATCTGTTTCTATTCCAAAGTATTTAAAAATCGCTTGCTAAGGCTCTGAGATGTTTTGATGTCTACCTGGAATTGTTCGTCGACCAACGCGATTGGCCAGGTAACCAGACGCGATGTTCCCTAGCAGGCAGAATGCATTGATGGTCAACGAATTGATAAACACCATTTCGTCCATGTTGGGACTGCAAGCAATGGCACTCGCTGACTCGACCATAACGCTCGGGGAAGGTGTCGTAACATTTTGCAGATCAGTTTCGTGCATTAGCCTGCAAACGCTCACGGTTCGGTTCGGGTGGAGATTGTGGTAGTTTTCGAAACGATTGAACAACTCTGGCAGCCACAAACCTAATCCGTAATACCTGAAAAATAATCATTTCCATAACTATTACTGTTTTCAATCAAACAAAGCTTCGTTCCTATTAATTTTTACCAAACTGTTTTAATTTACGTCTGAATTACTTTTCAGAAAGAAATAAAGTAGACTTCATATTAAATAACAAGTTAAACTTGGAAAATTTACCCAAACATATTCGTGAAGTAAATGGCCCAAGTCAGAAGCGCATACTGCAGCAATGGCGGCGACGCAAGTGAACGCATTTGCAGCCAAATATTCTTCAGCAACATCGTCAACACGCCAGATCCAGAGAAGTTTGTCTTGCCGCTATTAATATTAGCACTGTCGTCGAATAACAAGATTTTTACCTAAATAAGAACCAAACAATCAGTTAATTGCTTTAATTACTTTAATTTTGAATGAATAAAATTGCTCTCGGTTTCTTGTCAAGTGCTTACAGGGTACTCGTCCTCGTGGTGACCAGTGTTTATCGCGTAGATTTTTCGTAAAATCGCCAGTGCTTCCTCCGTTTTGCCTTGAGAGATTAGAAATTTAGGACTCTCTGGGTACCTGGTGGCTATCAGAGTGACCATTAAGGTCGGCAATCCAATGATAGCCAGGAAAAGTCGCCAAGAATTGAACACTATGCCATGGAATTGAAGGGATATTGGCATTGGTATGATTATCCATGCCAAACCTATAAAAAAGATGGTAATTGTTATCTAAAATTGTGTACAGTTGAAATGCTACAAATTCTTCCTTATTCCCTTATTAAAAAATGAAACTTTACCAGGTAGGATCAGCCAGGAAAGAGTCCAAAAGAATCCAACGTAGCAGATCGATTTTACCCTCTGTTTCTCCGCGTGGAATTCGCCAAGGTACGTGTAGATCAGCGATCCAGGGGCACCAATGCTGCAAGAAACTATTCGTTAAAACCAGAGCAACAAAGCTGGCTAAACAATGCCACTAACAAATTTAATGAAAAATATAACCAATTGGGCTGCTTACAAGAATCCACTGAGACCTCTGAAAATTAGCAGGACCTTAAAGCTTTGCGAAAGACTCCCTCCAATTGTTAAAATGCTATCGAACAGCATGGTAAGGAGAAGAATGTATCTTCTGCCATAGGCATCCGCAAACACTCCCCAGAACAGGGCACTGATCACTCCTCCTAAGGAAGAAGAATGTATCAGATTAATAAGAAAGTAACGAGAGATCTCGCACGATTGAGAAAGGTATAATTAAGAAAAAATATTATTAAAAAAAGAAAATTCAATTAACACATTTTTTGGCTTTAATTTTCAGATGGCAAGATCTATGCCGTCCCCCCTCCGACGAATGAAGTTAATCGACGTTAATCGCGCGAACAGCGAGTAGGACGTTATATAAAAACTGTTCGTCAATTTTCCTAACGAAATAAGTGCTATCGAACGTGTCTAACACGTTGCAATTAATGTGCACGTCGCCTCGATCGAAACAACGTCTGTTTGGATGGAATTAGCCGTTTGAAAAGTCCCATTTTGGAATAGAAAGAGCCAACGCTTGGTGATTTTAAACCAAGCGTAACTCAACATTGCGGCGACATATGGTAAAGGTTTTCTTACCCACTAGGAAGGAGACGTTCAGCAGACCCTTTTGCTCGGATGACAATTTCAGATCGCATTCTGCGGATGGCAGGATGTACGCGTTTATGCCATTTTCACAACCAACGCAGATAAACATCGCGCCACAGAGGAGCAGGAAACTGTAGTGGAACTTTCCATATCCTGAAAATTATAAATTTTGTTAGTCGAGGATCTTCAGAAGTATTACGATCGTACTCGAGGTGCGATACACCTGGGAAAATATTTGAGCTACGAGCTCTACAATTCAAAGACATTTACTTCTTACTATAACTCAATTGTATAGCGATCAATTCTCCACTTGAAACGTTCCAAGGTTTTTTATTCGATGCCTCGATAATCTGGATTAACGCTAGATCCAGATGAAACCTCGCCCCCTCCCCACCACCACCACCCGAATTAATTCAAAGAAGTTCCATTGTGTTCCTTACCGCAAAGTTTGATAGCCTTCTCGAAGTCTGCCGCGCCTTCCTTGTTGCCATGACTGTTCTCTAAAAATAAAATCACCAATTCTAATCAGACTCTGGTACAGTTAAACATTCCTTCAACACTCCTAATTAGATTTCGATAATGTCAAAGTGAAACCGATAAATACCCAACTAACAAATATACAATTTCTCCATAAAAATATTTACGCTCGCGAACAAATGTTGTTCGCTGGTGCACGCGCAATTGGACAATTTTGTGATTATTTCATTCTTAGCCTGCTACGTGTTGATTCGGCAAGCACGTTTTGTCTATAGATGTTCATCGACGCAGGTTTTTGTGTATTCATCGTGTCGTCGTGTTTGTTATCGTTTTCCCACATTCTTAATGTAAATTCCGAGATAATTGTGAAACGGTCAAATAAATGTATCAACCAGTTTTACTTTCAGTTAATTTTCCTTTGCGCTCATATATATGAAAATAAAATCGTTGGCCAGTTTTTTCTCTGTGTCAGGAAATTTCATAAAAATATTCCATATACGTAGCGCGCTATTCCTGATGTTCTGTCGGGTCGCTTTTAATTACTATTAACACAATCAAGATAGTGACACCGGCAATTGGTGGTAAATGCACTGTAGATCAAGTCCATTAAATTTGTCTTTGCGAGATCATTCCTGTCCAGGAAATTGATAAGAATAAAAACAAGCTTCCTTTATTGAATAATTGCACTGCATTGGTTGGAAAACGATTATGTAAGAGTGTTAAGATTAAAGAGGGAGGGAAGTTAAGATCGTTCCAATTAAACGTAGATAATAAATCGTTATACTCTTTACTACAGCTGAAATATTCATTCGGTATCGGTATAAAAAAATCATTGTAATCTTTACAAAAGCATCCAGCGTGTCGCCCATTAGGCGTGCTTTTCCATTTTACTCGAAAACGAGGTGAAAAGATCAGTCTCGAAGCATAATTCCTATCGCGATTAAGCCACCATAGTTTTGGAGAACTGTTTAGCAGTGTTCGTTGAAACAAGAGTGAAAAAAACTGCTAGCAAGGATCCAAGATAATTACGCCAGCCGAGCAATTATACACACGATGTAGCAAATGAAGCAGCAATTAAAGGAACAATTGTATTTTGACATTTCGCCGGCGACTATTGTGCAATCGTGCGCGCATTCAAACGCACGGCGATGCACCTGCACATCGGTTCTTTTTTCAGTAAACACTTCGGAAACAGGATCGAACTGGTCGAAATTATGTCATCGATGATGGAAGGAAGTAATTATTATTACGGCATTGGCAATAACGATCTCTTTCATCTCTGATCCACGGAGACGCGACAGACGTCGCCGTTGTCTAATAACGCTTTTCGGTGAACTATGCGCAGCGAAAATCACGTTGTTAAAAACAGAGCTATTTAGATGCTGGAAAATACTCATTGTAGCAAGCTAAAAAGATACGAGTACAACTTGCGTGAGTTGGAAAAGTGATTCTGTAGCTTCTTACGATTAGTCGAGTCGAGATACGAAGAGTTTAGTCAGAGAGGCTATAATCCAAAAATATATTAATAAATGCTTCGAGAAGTGAGGTGATTCCTCAATTTAAAATTTTAATTCAAAGTAAATCAAATATATAATTCGTGAATACATCGGAACACGTTTGAATGGAAGAATCTTTTTATTCGTGACGTGTGGTATCCAGTTTTGCGAATTTTCGTTAGTGTATCAATGACGTAAAGAAACAGGACGAATAACGAGTTCGGATCATTTTCAGCGAATAACCGAGCGATCACGTTCGGAGTTTAATCGTTGACGTAGAAACTCGAATACCACGTTGTTAAATTTGTTTAAATTTTGTATTATCGCTGGACTGCTCGACGACGATCACTGACGCAAGAGGAGAACTGGGGAAGAGATGTTTTCGCATACTTTTCATTGATGTCGGTCAATTCGCTGAAATTGTAGTTACTTAATTGTTTACACTTTGATATTACCGAGTGCGTATACAGTTTGGAACGTACAACGACATTTCACTGCGGCTATTATCTAAGAATATAAAAAAGAATAAAGCTAACATGCCATAATCTATGATTATCCTAAACCATTTCAGATTGAACTCTTATTTAAATTCAATTGAAATTTCAATCTCATAGTCACATTTCATCCAACACCCATCTCAACCACTAACAATCAAATTTCATTTGAAATTTACAACAAACGAGTCCCACGATAAACAACCCTAGCGTCGAAAAGCCTTCCTATTCCTACCGATGCAACCACACCTCCAGCCTAATGGAGCACGATCAACGCCATCATTCAGTTATTAAAAAACCAAATAATACTCACCAACAGAGAAAGACAGAGAGGTGATCTGATTGACCATGTCGCCAAGACGCCCGTAAACGCACTATACTTGTGGCCTGTCAAAGTCTGCCGCGACTACTGAGCGCGAAAACCGAGCAGAATCGACGCCGACGATCCCAAGTGGAAAACGTCCACGCGATCCACACTCGCGTCTCTTTTAAATATCGTCACGCGCGTCCACGATCGACGAACGACGAATAGGGAAGCGAGGATCACGTCGATAGCCGAAAATCGTCACCAAGTCGCCGGTAATCGGCGAAATCCGCGCACGTTCGCGAACGACGATTGACGCACTCCGCATTCTTTTCGACGTTTTCGTGATATTCGACGCGTCAGTGATCCTGGTGATTTTTTTTTTTACGAATTTTCCATCGACGAATTCCGAAGGTTGCGCGACGGTCAGGCTGCAAGGAAATCGTTTGTTCCAAGCATCGAAGGACGATCCCAATTGTGGCTGACAGGGTGAAAAAGCTGGGTAGATAATTAAAATTCATTCTGAAGGTGAGTTGGTAAGAAAGATTGTCTTATGGAACGGAATTGGCGAGGTTGGTGAGGTTCTTTGTTTTTAATCTTTGTTTTTAAATCGTCATGTGGATATAGTATTTGATTTTAATATGCACTTTCATGTTAAACCCCTATTTCTGAAAAAAAAATAGGAAACATGTCTTCAACTCCTCCTAGTTGCGTTTGTGAGTAACTCAACCTCTTGCTTACATTCTTCACGATTTACATTGCTTACATTCTACTAGAAAACAAACGAAAATATCTTTATCATCTGTATCCTAAAACGATCCAGGGTCTATAATGGAAAAATCTGAATAAAAAGAATTCTTTTCGACGTCTGACAGCGTGATCCACGAATTCGGAACGTTCGACGACGCCGAGACTGCACGGCGACCTTTCGTTTAATCGTCGCTGTGGCGGGTAACAGCGTTCGATTCGGAGAAGTATGATTATTATTTGCTCTCCAGTAATTGGTCTATACACAGGGCGTTGAAAAGAATGGCTCGCGGTGGCTTAGGAGGCCATATACAAGTCACTAAACTGACAGCGAAGAAAAAAGCGCATGGAACCCGACGTAGGGCGAGAGGTTGGCCCTGATTCTGACGGAGTTGGAGGCTACTTTTGGGTTTTAACGATAATTCAAGCGGTAATTGAAAGTCGTATGTACTTTATTTCTTTCTTAGACGGTACAAGAAGTAATTAAAATTATTAAACGGGGTGTTTTGCCTTACAATTAGAAGTGAGTGTGAGAAATGCCTTCTGATTTTCTTTTAAAATTATATTAAAAGTTTTAATGGGCCTCCTCTTGGTATTCCTCTAATTGTAATATTTCTATTCATTTTATTTTAGTCACATTGTAACAGTATTTTTTTTTGTGTACGAAGAGACTGTGTTAAATGAAGAGTATACAATTTTTTTTTTTATTAAGTAACCAATATCGCCTTAGATGCAGGAGGAACCTAAAGCGAAGTCAATTCTTAAGTAATAAAAAAAGAGTTGCTTGTATCGAAACATTGAGACAGCATGGGAAATATTCTTTGAAAATCACAGATTAACTTTTCGCAATTAACCTGTCTTTAAATGTACAGGTACACCGTTTAACGGAAACGCGAGGATTGATAATAGTGTTTGCCCTGGGAGTGGTCCCTTCCTAATTAGGCTCGTTGACCCGAAGAATTAGGATTGAATCGATATTCTATTTAACTGTCACACCTTCGCTTGTGATACTATAATATAGACTTGGTCAGCTATATATAATTTATAGTCGTGGTCATAATTAGACGATTTGAGTCTATTATTAAATTTAAATAGTTACACTGCTGTATAAGTATAGAATAATACGACGATTGTTTTTAATCGGCAAAGATGACTCTATTTAAAGTATAACATGAACTAATTATACAAGATTGCAAGGAACATTGTAATATTTTGTTTCTGATATTATTAAAGTCTTTTTTATTAGAATAATTTACAATTATTTGTCTTTGAACAGCTCATCATCGGTGGCAAAACGCCCAAGTTTGTAGTGAAATGTTTTTTAAAATGAGGAATCAAGCTTTAAACAAGTTCCACTGCATAAATCAGCAGTTGTTATACATAAAAGAAATTAAATGTATGAATAACCTCATTTTCGTGGCAAAAAAACGTCTCGCCATCTCGCGGTCAACGCTAAGAACTAATTCTCATACTATATATACTATTTTTTTTTTTAAATTGAAAAAATAAGTTTTAAACAAATTCTAGCATATACATTAACAGTCGTTGATTGAAGTTCTCATACATTTTGTCTAAAATAAGGCATAATTATGCGTTTATGCAAAGGAAATTAAATTAAAAATAGTCGCGCCATCTAGCGGATAAAACTAACAACTAACATTTCTCTACAAACTTGGGCATTTCGCCACCGATGGCGCCACCAGTAGAAAAATATTTGTTTACTTTCAGTTGTTTACAAAATATTTGAAAACTCAGAATACTACCCGTTTATACAGCTCATCGACATTCCAACGTTGCATTAATTAAAAATGAAAACTGATTGAAATATTAGGACACCGTAAACGCGCAAATAGAAACCATGGAATGCTTAAGATTGTTGGATAGCTTAGATATGGTGGGCTACGCTGGCATTTGTATAGGAACAGAAAATTCACAGATATTGCAAAATTCCCTCCTAGTATTGCAACAAGAAAATCACTTTAAAAAGTGTTATTATTGGGGGAAAATCTACGGAGTTCGAAGCGATTACCATATCGCGTATGGTTTCGAGAGAGACTGCATGAATGGCCAAATTTATTATTATAGGTAAGATTATTGAAAACATCCAAGGTTCTCTCATTCCGACTATATTCCTAACAACATCTAGTCTTACTGTTAGATCGTACAAATCGCTAAATAAGTGTATTTGTTTTACGATCAGCATGGATGGTTTGAATTGGTTGTTATTACCGAAGACGAATAAATGTGCACGATTCTTAACGCCCCTCGCAATTAATAAATTCGAAGGTGATCCATCGATAGTTACCAACGTTTACAATATAAATCGCCCGTTTCCGTCAAACGAGGACACTAAAAAATATTACGATGTAAGATGATTTATTACGATCTAATGATGTGTTTCTAACCTCAAAAAAAGCATGACATTCGATATACGGTAGGGTCCTATACCAAAGGAATTGAAAGAGGAAGACAGACTAGCAGCAGTGGTAGAGTTAATCAGAGAAGACGCTGCAGTAATTCCACGAGGAGCTTGGTTTAAATGTCCTAACGGTGACGTAATTGAAAATTTAGGTTTCGAAGGGCTTCCTGACGTTGATGCTTCTTACTTAAAGTCCTATTTACATGCGCGTCCGCCTCAGCAAAAGTGGAATACTAATTTGCTAACCAGGCCTGACTATAATTATTCGATAGACTTTTTGGATACAATTGATCTAGATGTGCCACAAGGTATACCATGCATAAATACAAATATTAAATGATTGCATAAGTTTGTGCCTGATTTAAAAATGAAGGTCAATGTGTTAAATTTCAAAGAATACGGTTTTATTAATCAATTATGTAGTCACTATTCTTTTCTACAATTAGTTTCCAACAATCTACAAACTTGTAGATTCCAGCTGTGACAAAAGATCTTGGTTTTTCATAAAAAAAAGTCTGTGAGGTACATTTTAATAGCTTCTTTGGAATTTAGATTCTTTCCATTTAAACTATTCTGGAGTGGCTGGAAGAGATGAAAATCTGAAGAAGCCACGAGAACATGGTGTAGAGAATATTCTCTGGACATGGCTCCTTCAAGTTTTCATCTCTTCCAATCACTTCAGAATAGTTTGAGTGGAAAAAATCTAAATTTCGAGGAAGCTATGAGAACATACATCGCAAACTTTTTTCATGAAAACCAAGATCTTTCTTCAAAGCTGGAGTCAACATACTTGTAGGTCGTTGGAAAATAATTATAGAAAAGAATGGTGACTATATAATTGATTAATAAAACTGTATTTTTTGAAATTGAACCCATTGAACTTCATTTTTAAATTGGACAGGAACTTGTGCAATCATCTAATACAACTATCTCAACTGTAAATACGAAATATAAATTTCCCTAACTTTGCATAGGATGCTGGAGTCTGCAATTTGTACGAGGCGATGCAACAGTGATCTTGCATAGCCTATATTGGCCCGGTTTGACTTTTTATCACAAATTAAATAATTCCGATTATGGTTTTCTTTATTTTGGGCATGGAAAAAAAAATATGGACGTGGTTTTCATGATATAGTAAATATATAATGAATTCGTAACTTGTAAATAGGTCTTGCGTCTCGTGTAGCGTAACAACGTGACAAGCTATTCGATTAATCTGTAATCGAATCGATAGATTCCTTATTGTTTTCTATGGCAACCAAACATTTGTCGCGACGTTAAATTTCATTGTCTCTACGTATATTTTATCATCCATATCGTAGATTAAAATATGTTATTTTCTTAATTTGGCAAGTAACTATAGGCCTAACAATGGTTCAAGTTAAGAAGATGAAAGTTATTAAAAATTGTATGTATTTCGAAACGTAATGAATCCTTTTATCGGCCAAACAGATCGGTAAACATTTTTTTATTGATTTGAATTTTCGTTGGCGATAAACGCAAACTAGAGTTTGAAAAAAAGAGTTCGAATCGAGTTTTTTCGGAGGTTTTGTAAACGAGCATTGCGAATTGCGAAAAAGATCGGTTGATGTCGAGACACGCGAGATGGCAGTAGGGTTTTCGTCGAGACGATGAATATGAATTTGAACGCTCAAGCGCAGTGGCAGTGGCACTAGTGGCAGTTGGTGCCAGTGATTGGCGTACTCGAGTGAGGTGTTGTTGCAAGTGCTTGGGATCCGTATTCGTTTTCCGACGCGTTTTCCCAGGATATATTGTCGTTAAGGGTGAGTACAAACTAAGCTATCTTCTCCGGTAGAGTTTGTTCGCCGATCGAACGGTTTTCGTCCATTGGTTTGCTTCACTTGACGATTGAATCGAAAGTTTGGTAACAATCGCGTTGCCGGGTGACGCCGCGCCGGTTCTAGAAAAACGTATTTCGTAGCACGTGGATCCTAGCGGTGGATACGAAGCTGAACGAACGTTCCAGTATCGTTATATTTTTCGGCTTCTCAAAAATTTCGATTCTCCGCAAATGTCCACATATGAAGACGACGCCCGATTTCGACGCCATGCGTCGCTGTATGGAACGTTTTGTAGTCGTTGACAGACAGGCAAAACCAGGTTCTACCCGTTTTTTCTATTACTTCGCGTCATTCGACGTTAGCAAATTTTTTTGTTCTACAATCCACGACAACGCTATGGAAACTTGGGAATTTCTCTCGAAACAAGTGCATTTATTCATATAGAGTGCATTATGTTCGTCTTTCCTTATTATATCGTATAGACTATTACTACGACGCGAAGTTTGCTCAATTTGAAGGTTAGCCGGGTCAAACGGAGGTATAAGTGTATCTGTCGTTGGCGACCATTTACAAATGGTTTTTCTATGGTTTTGAAAGCGTCCAACTTGGTTTGCATTATACGTATTACAAGTTCGTCGTTCTCACCCCCATAATACAGAAATTTATTTTCGTACGAAAGTGCCGATAACACACACACACACACACACAAAATTCCCGCATTCTTTTTCTCTTTCTCTTCACGGAAAGGAAAGGAAACCCTTGAGCTATCTTGTCTTTGATTCGTATGCATGGTCGTACATGTGCGATCGCGTAGTCAATTCCGAGCACGGATCGCGAGTTCCGGTTCCTATTCAAGTGGCATCCTCTGTATCCCGACGTACCACGTCTTTCTCCGGTTCGTCTTCCTCGTCGATGGCTTAAAACCCAGTCCAGCAAAGATATACAAGTTATTGAAATCGCGTTAACGAAAATCTTTGTATAACATTGTTTTTCACTATTCCGATTAACGACGGTTGCGGCGAAACGTTCGTAACGGGACTTTGAGTAAACCGTAAAAAGCTCGTGGAAACGTCACGGCATTGACTTTCTTTGTTCCGCTAGCGTAAACTACCGTTCTCACGATTCCGTATACTTTGGCGATGAGAAGAGACACGAAGCAAAAATACCGGCAGAGTTACCTATGCGCGCGCAATTTGTTGGACTCTCGGTAAATTTGTTTTGAAGCGAGCGTTCGTGCGCGAACCTCGTAACGACTAACGATTCGTTAATCGGTTTCTTGTATCTTGTATCGTCGAAAGCAAAACAATCGTATCTTTGGCCAGCAATTCTCAACTACGTAATTACAGGTGTCGAGTGGCGTTCGATTCGAAAGGTTTAAGAAAAGCTACGTATAACTCGCGTTTCATTTTTAATTGGAAAATCGGTCGCGAGACATCTCTTCGGTATAAAGTTTTTCAAATTATCACGAGTCTGGAATACCTGGACGGATAGAATTTCTGTGCTTTGCGAGCGGTACGATCCACAGTGGTTCTCACAAACTACGAATCGCGCAATTAGGTCGAATGGAAAGCGCGATGATGGGCTATAACGCGTGAGAACCGCCCGTTTAAGGCGCGAGAACTGGTTCCGAGCTGATCGCGAGCATCTTCTTCCCAAGGCCCTCTTCTCGATGTTAAACACGGCAGAGATGTTACAAGCTCCTTGGACTGGCTGAAAATAAACGTCGGGGACAAGGAGCTCCGGGGACCGCCTTTCCTCGAGGCTGCTTTCGCTCGATCGAAACGTGTGCCCTTCCTTCTTCTTCTCCCTCTTCTTCTTCTTTTTCTTCGTCTTCTTCTTCGCTTCCATCTCTTCACCTTCTTCCTTCGGAAGGTTGTCTCCTCTTCTACTCGTTCTCCATCTATCTACCTGACGAACAATACGAAACGTTTCCGATAGTTTTGCACGACTTATCGAAAATGCTAAATCCTCGAGCAATTCGATTCATAGAATCTTTTTCGAGAGCTGCAACGAAAAAATTGTGCGCGAAAAGCTGATGTATCGGTTGGAGGTCGGGGAGGTGCATCACGTGCACCGAGAGTGATTCTCTTCCATACCGTGGCTCTGTTGTCATGTGAACAATATCTTCTCGTGTTACAACAATGTTACCGTTGCCGAACTACGCACTCCGATGTTTCCTTCTCGCGTGTCTTCGTCGTTGCCGTCGACGGACGCGACGCGTCGCACGCCTGGACACGTTACTATTCGTGTCGTAAACATGACAAAAATTTATTTTTCCACGTCGATGGTGTTTTCGAGAAGAGAACAAAAGCTAGCTAACCATTGTACCGGAGTATTCTCACCGAGGAGATCGTTTGGCTCGATCGAGCGCGTAGATTAGTAAGGCGTCCATATTTGCGCGTAGATCGCGAGCGCGTCTTTATTCTTTGAAACCGGGTGCGGCGAGGGGTAAATGGATGACTGTATGTATGGTTGTATACGCGAGAGCTTACGGTGGCTGTAAGAGCGAGCGAACGAACCACCATACGAACACGAGAGGGAATGACCGAAGGGGAAGTATGGGGGTTATGGGGGCACCTTAACACAAAACGGCCACCATAGGCACCGGCAGCTGTTCACCATCCGTGCCCTACTCTCCGTGCCGTTCTCTCCCCCGCATTCTAAGCTCGGCTTAGCCTCGCCCTTCCTCCCTGTCCGTTTCTCGGTGCTGATCGTATATACAAAAGTTCGAGTAGCTTCTGTGCTTGTTCGTTCTTTCCCGTTTTTTTTTTTTTTTTTTTTTTTCTGTAGCTCCGCGACTCTGAGATCGTAAGACGGATATTCCATTGGAAATATTTTTTCTTCTCCGCGTACATTTTCCAGCTAGATTCACAGGAAAACGGCCCATGTATTTTCGCGTATCCCGCACCCGCCCTTTTATTTATCGAAGCGAACGCACGAGTTCCTTGTGAAAGCAGCAGAGTGGTGTGGTTGATCGAGTAAGATCACTGTGTTTGCTCGAACGACCGACGAAAGAAGAGCTGCCAGTGGGTGTACGAGCGTGTCTGGCTGTGTATGCGCGATGCTTGAAAAGCCACCACGAAGAGCCAACATGGTAACTACATAATGGATCGAGCCACGTTCTCCTTGATGAGCCAAGAGCCACGAGCCACGAACGGGCTGGAAAATTCACGATAACGCGGTTACGAGGACCTTTTCTCCTCCTTTTTTGTTTCCCCTTTTCATTTCGGCGTATCAACCAGCCAAGCGAGAAGCTGTCAGAAAGGACGGTATTCTTGTCGAGTCTAGGAAAAGGAACCGTGTCGCCTATATCCCGTACGTTCTCGCATCGTTTCAGCCTTCCACGGAATATCAGTAAGACGCATCGCGTCGCTGTTACGTGCTCGTTTGAGCATGCTTATTACTCCTTTCGCTTCTTAATTCGCTATGCTCCCGTCAATTCTCGTGATTAATTCGCCCAAGTGTTGTTCGTTTCTTTCTTAAGGTGGTAGCCACCCTGAAATAGTTGCCACGTACGGAGGGCGATGGTTCAAGGCGAAGGTCAAAGTTTCATTCGTCGCGAGAGGATGTCTCTCTGACGGATTCGAGTTGTACAACGGTGTTGGCGTTCAAGCTGTGTCAACTTGAAACATCGCTCCCATTTTAGCGTTGCTCCAAATCCTCTCTTTGGAACCCATCCAAGTACCTTCGGTGCTTGGCGTATGTTTGCATTTGTATTACAAATATTAGTATTTCGCTAGATTCGTCGAATGTCGTATCAAATATACAAACTTTATCGCGAGTATCGCCCGTTTACGTTACAATATTTTTCCCTTTTCGTTCCCATCCGTAAAAGGAAGGTAGTTTCGGTTTCGACCGTGCTTGCTGGAACAGTTCGAGCACTTTCTCTCGGCGAATTTAAAAATATTCGTAAACGTCAACCTTACCGTGATACGTAGTACGAAATTGGTCCGAGAACAAACCACGCGTCAAGCTTGACAAATTTTAAATGAAACGTTACGCGAAGCGGTACCGTGATCCCGTTGGGATGCGAATATGTACCTATATTTTTGCGCGCTCACATGGCTGTGACGTGTAACGCCGTTTCTCGGAGTCTGTTTCAAACGAGACCTTAATATAGCGTGGAATCGTGTCGCGCGCGATCTTCGAGGTTAAGGTTAAGGCTACGAACGCGGCACTATACCCGCAAGGGTGACGCAAACACGTGCACGAACAAGGATTCGTCGGTTTTTCGATAAGAGATACGAAGAGGTGTAATTAAAAAATTCGCGCTCTCGAAACCGATAGAAAGAAATTTAAATACATCAGGAGGTAATCAGGAGGTAAAAAGATGGCTATAAAAATTAGTTTATATTTCCCCAAAGTCCGCGGGCAGATTTCCATTTCTATAGTTTCTATCGGCGGCTACGTTCGACTGGCACTCGATGGAACTGGCACTGCTGTTGGAGATCACAAAACATAGCGTTTTCCCCGCTCGAGAGTAATTCCTTCGCGGAGATACGGTGCAATGGTTGCTTTGGCCTCCGCGACCTACGTTGTCAAGATAGACTCGCGAAGGAGAAGGGAAACGACCCGAGCCACGAGAGCGTCGGAAAATTCTTTTTTGAAAGACGCTCGGTG